TATAAAATATATAATTAAATAAAATAAAAATAAATAAATAAATGAAACTTTAAAAAAAACACTGAGTAGTCCTGAGCTTTTTCATCTCCAATAAAAACAAAACAAACTTTACTTTCTCCCCCTCTTTGTATAAAATATATAATTAAATAAAATAAAAATAAATAAATGAAACTTTAAAAAAACACTGAGTAGTCCTGAGCTTTTTCATCTCCAATAAAAACAAAACAAAAACAAAACAACAAATGTCTTTGAGTAGTCATCTGAGCTTTACATCTCCCACAAAAACAAACAAAAAACACTCAACAAAACAACACAAAACAAAACAAAAACACCAGACCAAAACAAAACAAAAAGGTTATAAATGTTTATTTTACTTTAAAAAAGTGTGGTCTTTGCCACTGAACTTCTGTATGAACACCAACAAGTGAACACTCTGATCCCAGATGAGAGGGGTGTGCTGCCGGCTGACCCTCTTGGAAACACTGAGCTGGCCAGTGGGACTGCAGGGTCAGTTCCCAGGGTTCACACTCGGACCACCAACATAACAACCAGCAAAGAAAATTTTTTAAATAAAATCCACATAACGAATTGGTTCTTATGGGACGTTCAGAGGGCATAAAAATAGACTAGGACACACAGGACAAATATATCCCCTGAGGAGTCTCTGTCTCTCATGACTAATACCTGAAGAAATGTATCCGCAAGTGACCGTTTCCAAGGTTACAAACCTTATCTGGCATCTCCATCCTCTGGAGTTCTGATTTCAAATTGAAAAATATGATTCTTAAAGTGGGTTTAGATAATAATGTGCAAAATGGTTTGCGTTCCACATGCTACAAGTGCAGGAAAAGTGCACAGCAATATTATGGAATGAATACTCTTCAATACAGCCTCAGATGACATGATCTCGCTGCACACAAAAACAGTAAGAGCAGACTGAAACTGCCAGTTCCAAAATGACTGACTTGTTTGTTTGACTTATTTGCCAAAGTTTGTGAACAGTATCATATCTTTTTTAAGATATTCAGTGTTTTGTCTGAGATGCTTAAAAGCAAATAAACATGGCTAGAATATCCTCTATGTTGGATTCAAGTGGCTTTTTCTTACAAGATCATACTTTCAAGTTATTAAACTGGCCGAAAAGTGCTCTACTAGCCTGAACCACTGGGACCAAACCACAGTTTGAAACAACATGAGACAGGAGCTCTCTGAAATGCAGAGCATTTGCTAAGCAAATTCTCCCAAACAATTTACATAAGAATGCGTTTATGAACAACCTACACAAAAATGTGTGTTGTGTTTCATGAAAAAGACCCAATATACAGTGCTGAAGGACAACTAATCACTTTTGGCAGGTTATTGGCGCCTGTGAAGTAATCAGAACGTATTAATTTTCCATGGACAGAAAACAAAGTTTACAAAGTCTATACACTTTTTGTCTTTTCTTTTTTTCCATTCAACTGCCATATGTATATGGCATACTATTATTCAAATGTTTGGGGTTGGTAAGATTTTGTAATTGTTTTTTTGTTTTGTTTGTTTTTTTAAGTATCTTTTGCCCACCAAGGCAGTATTTATTTGATCAAAAATACAGTAATATTGTTAAATATTACTACAACTTAAAATAACTGTTTTCCTGCATATATAATTTATTCCTGCCATGGCAAAGCTGAATTTCTAGTAGCTATTACTCCAGTCTGTGTCACATGATTGTCCAGAAATCTTTTTTTCTTCTTGATTCTTTGAAATATATATATATTTTTAGGCTGGTATAATCTTAAAAAAATTACAATAATAAAATAAAAATAAAACTGTGGTTGGTCACTTGTCACGTCAGACGATCTCTTCCTGTCTAAGTGAGCAGATTTTGGCTAGAAGATTGTGTCTGCAATTATGTTAGTCAAAAGTCTAGCAATGCAATACTACCCTCTCCACACATCAGAACAAGGTGAAACTGTAAAGACAGCAACCCACCATCTGGCCCAAACACATTTTCCATATTCCACTGCACAACCTATTATCTGCATGTGTGTGTATCTGTGAAAGAGATATGTCTGCAAGTTTATGTGTTTGTTTGTTTGACAGAAAGAGAGCAGAGAACCTCCATCTCTGATGTGCCACAGGTGCTGTAAGCCCTGCATGAAATAAAGCTTCTTAAATGCAATGAAAACACAGGAGTCAGCCAGCCGGCTGCTAAATGATACACAGGCAATGAAGGGAGAGATAAAGGAAGCATGGTGCAGCATAAGAAAAGAGGAAACGGGGATGGCTCCAGGTGTGAGGGCACCCAAGAAAACTGCTTTAATGTGTAATGAATATCTAAGGAAGAAGGCCAAACCAACAAAAGGAAGAGAGCAAAGGTCTTGTGGACCGAGACCGAGGCTGAAGCACAGGAGTCAGGTTGCACAGGGAGGAAGAGTCTCTGTTTGGGAATGTTTGTGGAGCGTTCCAGAACACTGATATAGGTGTGTGAGAGTGAGCACATTATACTCTTGAGGTTCCGCTGTCCGCTTCACATTCCCCTCACCCGGAAAGAGAGGGAGTTCCCTTAACCCTTCAGGGACAGCTGGGGGTGTAAGACGCTTGGGGTCTTCCGACCCCAGAGGAAAAAGGATAACCTCATTCATCTTGGTACTGAGGCTTTATCTGTCAGGTTGTGCTGAAGTTTGGTGTCTTGCCGCAGGTTTCCTGTCCATCTGAGGGTGTGCAGACAAAAGAAACGTTTCTCATCAGACACATAAATTATCCAAAAGCCCCTCCATGCTACCTGATACTGAAGGAATGCCTCTGCTCTGATCTCAGCTAATAACAGGCATGGAGAACACACAAATCTTCAATAAATCAAACACTGGACCTAAAACCATTCTGAGTAACAGAGAAAACACTAATTAATTTCCAGCGTGTTGTCGGCCACTTGTATCAGTCACTCAGACACTACTACATGTAAAAGCCTGTTTGCAGAGTGTTAAAGTTCAGTATGGCAAGATGTAAAAGATGTTACGCTCCTTCAGACAGGCTACAAACATTTTTGGGATTATGAAGTAACCTTTATCTGAAGATACTGACTTTTGTCTTTCTTCGCTCAATTAAAAAAATTCTAGACAAATAAGATTTACTGGAAGTTTTTTTTTTTTATTAAAAGATCTAAACTACACTTATTAGTGTAGAAATATCTCCAGTATGACCCTAGAAGAACAGAACGTTATGTTGGCTTTTGGGCAAGCTACATGTCACAAGTTCTCAGAGAAAACAATATCTATCAGATCAAATACCTGAATATTTTAGAGCGGAGCAAAACCAGATATATATATATATATAATTATGTTTTTTTTATATAATTACAAAAACAAAATATTAAAAATACTTTTAATTAATATTAATATAATATGTAGATAGATAGATAGATAGATAGATAGATAGATAGATAGATAGATAGATAGATAGATAGATAGATAGATAGATTTATTTTTTTATATAATTACAAAAACAAAATATTAAAAATACTTTTAATTAATATTAATATAATATTTAATCATTACAAAAAATAAATAAACTAAACAAAAATGACAAATGTTGCCTTGATTTACTGGCCAGAATTATCATCACACTCATTGCCTCATTGTGAAAAAGCATTTTTGTGAAAAAAGTTTTGTGTCACTTTGTTCCATTGCTTGGTGCGGGCAGGCCTTAAATCTAGGTGCACTAGGAGACAAAGCAAATGTATAGCAAAGCAAACAACAGGACTTTCTTTTCACAAACACACACAAAACCCATATACAACCTGTGGTGAGGTACAGAGCAAGAGAAGAGGGAACAGAGTAAAGCAAAAAGAAACGCAATAAAAAGACACAAAAAAATGAAATTCAGAGCGAGAATGAGGACAGACAGAGAGGAGCGAAAGAAAGAGAGGTGAAGTGCATTAAAGCCATCCACGATGTTCCAATAAAAGGCTCTGAATGAGCAGAGTGGTAATCATAAAAAACTCCATCTATTCTGAGCCAGTCCATTAAGCAGGTGGGGGGAGAGCAAGACAGTCCATTAAGCAGACCAGGGGGGAGAGAGAGCACGTAAGAGAGAAACAAATGGCTATACTTCACTAACTCCACAAAGCTCCATAAATACATTCAACACACTGTAGCGATACAGCTCTGCTCATATGCCATTTCATCAGAACTTTGAGGCTATTCTAGATCAGCATTTTATTGAAGGAGAAGGGAAAAAAAGTGAGCAAATGATTGAAAATGCAACAAAAGGGAAGGGACGCTTATGAAAGAACACAAAATAGTGAATCAATGTCTCGCTGCTGGTTTCAGTCTGGAAGCTTTAATGGAAACCTTGAGACCTTCTGCAAAATAACCACACAAAAAATGACTTTCTCATTAAGAATAAGCTGCAATGCACTGAGAACCCTTTGGTTTAAGTATGTTTTCAGCTGAATATTATTTTAAAGGTGATGTGTGTCTGGAAACATGTTTGAAAACAGCACTAAACACCAGTTGTGGCTTGGAAAACACACTGCTGCTTTAACATGTTCATAAAATACATTCTAACTCAACATTATCCAGGTTTAATGTGCAATCATGTTTAATATATTTGGAAAAATCTCAGAGATCAAGACATTTTCCAAAATCAATGATCAAAAAAAAACAAAAAAACGCTTAGACCAGTTTGGTTCTAGCTGGTTGTTTTGTGTAGATCAGTTTAATTATGTAGTCACAATGAGTGGAAGGCAAAAACCAGCAGGAAAACATACCTTGCAAGATCAATAGGATGCAGTGTGGTGCTTTTAACTGCTATATGAGCTGGACACCCACCTGTATGTCATGTTTAGCTGACATTTTCTGCAGGGTCAGTAAGGTTGTAAGTATTTATAGCAGCATACTGTACATTGATTGAACATTAGACATAATAGTGATGTATAATAATGTTACATTCTACTGTGATGGCATGAGATCAGGACTCTGATAGAGCGTTAAAGGAGTGTGTCAGCGCAGTTTTACCATGGCTCTGCAATTCCCATCTTCCATCTGAGGAGGTCCAAGCGCAGAATCGCTACTGCTCCGTACCAGCAGAGGAGTACCTGAAACACAAACACACAAAATGAAATATAATATAAAATACTATTACGATATATAGTTTATTTTATATATACTAATATGAAAGTGTATAGTATATTTTTACCACATTATATATACATACTTTTGAAATATATGTGAATTAATTTATGTATTGTTAAATAAGTATACAAATGTTTTGGGCAGGATTTTACTACTTTTATTCAGCAAGGATGCATTAGATTGATCAAAGTGCAAGGAAGGACATCTATAATGTTACACGGTGTAAATATTCCTCCTGGTGTTCACACAGAGAACCATAAAGAGAAAAAGGTGTGGAAGACATGCTTATTATTTAGAGTAATTAATTAGTTCTTGTACATTAGGGGTTGAATTGGCTACAATGGCTGTTTAGTTGAAACGAAATACTCCTCACTTAATATATTCTGTCTCCCAGCAATACATCACATTATGGACATCAAATGTGTTGTGACGTTGTTCATATTTGTCTCCTCTTAAGCCCAGTGTGCTGCGTTTCATGATTGGACATGAGTGTTTGTTGTCTTATCAGTTACATTCCCCCGGCTCAGACACTGAAGCGGACTCTGAACCCGGAGTTAAACACAGTTTACATCTCACTTATTCACACTCCAGTGGAGCAGGGGCACGTCAAGCACCCTGCGAGAGTGAGGGAGGGGGAAAAAAACGACAGCGTTTCAAGAAGCTTTAAAGGAATATTTTGTTATTTTTCTGCACAGCAAACAGCGGCTATCTGTGTGTCAAGAGGCTCTGACATGATGACGCTGTGTAAATTCCAGTCTGCTGCCTCCCTCAAGCAAGCCGCATGCATTTTCAGACCTGTTGCTTGCCATCAATAGTTTTAAATGCCTTTAACCTCGCATGTGGGGTGGAGCAGGGGCACGTCAAGCACCCTGCGAGAGTGAGGGAGGGGAAAAAAAACGACAGCGTTTCAAGAAGCTTTAAAGGAATATTTTGTTATTTTTCTGCACAGCAAACAGCAGCTATCTGTGTGTCAAGAGGCTCTGACATGATGACGCTGTGTAAATTCCAGTCTGCTGCCTCCCTCAAGCAAGCCGCATGCATTTTCAGACCTGTTGCTTGCCATCAATCAAGTTTTAAATGCCTTTAACCTCGCATGTGGGCAAGAGCTCTCAGCACACAAGACCCCAGATGACTCACCGGTGATATTGCAACTGCATATTTGAGATAAAAATACCCAACAACACGTGACGTTTCGAGCACACAGGCTCTTCATCAGACAAATGAACATCACTAATGTACCAATCTTTATAGGCCTACCTCGAGGTGATCAAATGTCACATGACCGTACAATATTAACATGATAAATATAATAATAATACCAAAACAATGACATATCAACTATGGAGAAAAACCAATAAAAAAATTAACAAACAAAACAAAACATACAAAGCTATACAAAATACAAGAATACAATTCTCAATGTATTATTCAATAACATTAATTGATGCCTGCCTACGTACATAAATACAATCAATAACCACAAAGCGTTTATTATATATAAATAGATATCTTATGTTTAAAGAAATGGACGAATATCAAAGTCCTCATTTAATCCTCTAGGGGACAACGTGTCCAGTGTATAAATCCAAAAGGCCCCACGCTGTAAAAGCAATTTCTTGATATCACCTCCGCGACGCGGACACTTAACTACCTCAATGCCTATGTACTGAAGAGTGGAAACTGAGTGTCTTGAATCTGCAAAGTGCTGTGCTACCGGACTTTTTACCGATGTCTAATTGCACATCGATGTTCAGAAATGCGAGTTTTCAGAGGTCTACTAGTCTTACCAATATAACATAAACCACAGGGGCAACGCAACAGGTAAATGACATTAGCGGTCTTACACGAAATTGTGCCTCGAATTTTAAAACATTTTAGCCGTGTGCGGATGTGTAAAGGTTGACGTCTTATGTGAAATCACACTGTTGACAGATACCGCATCTGTAATTCCCATATGGTATTTTGTTCAAGAAATGAGGAGCAGGTTTCAAATCAGCTCTGACCAAAATATTTCGGAGATTAGGCGTTTTCTTATACACTAAACGAGGTGGTTTGTCAAAACATTTCTTGAGGTTGGGATCACTCTCTACAATATGCCAATGTTTTAATAAAACATTGTCAATGTCCTTTGAAACAGGCGAATATTGGATATAACAATTAACTTTTTTCAAACAAAATTGTTTTGTTTTTTAACGAGACTCTCTTGTTGTGACATCTTTAAAATGACTCACTGCAGACTGATTCCCACTCTTCTCGCTATGATCGTTTTCTGAATCTCTCTGATAAAATTTGTGATTGCTGTTGAAAACTTTTTTCCTAAAATATAAATGAAGCTATATATTTTACTTATAAATTTATACAGTGAAACATTTTTTATATTTTTTATTTGTAATCTTGTAATTAAAATCAAATCTAATTCTTCAAATTTCTGCTTTGACAGTCCTTCTGAATTAGTTGTATAGTCTGATGAGATTCATATTCAACAATAATATTACTGTTTAGTTTTTTTTACTGTATGCCTAAAACATTATTGGATTTTATATATATACAGGTGCATCTCAATAAATTTGAATGTCGTGGAA